TTTTTTTTTTTTTTTTTTTTTTTTTTTTTTTTTTTTTTTTTTTTTTTTTTTTTTTTTTTTTTTTTTTTTTTTTTTTTTTTTTTTTTTTCAACTGCCGCGCGCGCCTCCTGCTCGGGCCTGCGACGCTGGCCATCCGCTGATAACGCTCAAAACGGCGCCATTCCTCGTCTTTCTCGACGCGCCGTGCAATTCCATCTCTTCGTGGCCGTCTGATTGGCGCGGATTTGTCATCTCGCAGCCGCGCGGTCGAAGCGGCCTCGACAGCGCAGCGTCGAGTTGATGGCAGTTTGCGCGCCGAGGCTGCGGGGGCCGATAGGAGAGAACAGCGCCGCCGCCGGCTGTCGCCGCTGCCTCCCCGCCACCGAAGAAGCGCCGCTGGCGCCGCGGCCTGCGTCGCCGCTGCCGGACGAGAACAACCTGGGCTTTCTTCTGGCGACAATTGTTCTCGCAGTCTGGCGGCCCGCGCTGCGTCGGCCATGCCATTTTCTCGTTCGTCCAGCGCCGTGGCGATCATTTCGCCCTCCAATCATCTTTTCGCCCCCTATCTCCACGGCCCGGGCCCCACGATTCCTAATCGAGATGGTTTCTTCGGCCCCGGTTCGCGCGATGTCGACGAATCGGGCAGCCTGAGTTTCGACGAGTCGGGCAGCCTGCGCAGCTTCGCGCCTGCCGCGAGTAGAGGCGCCGCGCTCTGAAGCGCGCCGCTGATGCCCCAACGCGCGCCTCGGATCCCGGCCCTTTCCCCCTCGGCCCTGCTGCGCTCAACTTTTGCCCGGGCCCTACTTTCGGCGAGCTCGTGCCCGGCTCGCGCCCGGGACTTCTCGGCTGCCGCGGCATTGGTTACTTCCGATTGAAGCGTGTGGAGCTCGTAGTTCTATTCCATCCTCGGAACTGCGGCTTGGGCCTTCACTTGTTGGGCGATCTGCCATTCCGAGCATCGCAATGCAACGCAGTCGTGGTCGGCCGGGAGAACGCGCCCATCGCGCGGGAAGTGGCCACTCCATCCCTGGCGCGCGCGCGAGCAGCCCCAGCGCGACGGGCATGGCAGCGCCTCCTGGTTGGCTCGGGCATCGATATTCCGCCGCGCTCCCGCGTCGAGGCACGGGCCGCCCGCGAGCGTTTTGCGCAGAAATCATGCTTGCGCATCGGGGGCTCGACCTAGCGGGCTCGCGGGGTCTTGACCTTGCGCGCTTCGCATCGCGCTGGTCGTTGCGGTTTCGAGTCGACAGAACTCTTCGGAGCTCTCCCGCAACATTTTCGATGGGCCCCTCTTCTGCCATAGCAAATTGTGACCGGAGTGGTCGGAATGTCTCTCTCTGGCTCTCTGTCTTGAACTGGCTGACTCGGTCCTCTTCGGCGGGTAGGGGCGGCCGGCGAGTGATCGTCCTCAAACTCCGGCGACTGCTGCGTCGCCGATGCGTGTTTCTGTCGCGCATGTGAGCTCAGCAGTCGCGTCACCCATGTTCGTTCTCCTCGAATGCTGGGAACTTTCTCTAAACTCGCCGCCCCGCGCGCCGTCGATGACGGGCGACTGCGCCGAATCCCACCAACCCTCTGGGCGCAGGTGGTTTACCGAGTTTTGCCTTCGCTCTGTCAGCATCCCTCCTCCCCCTGCTCGGGGGAGGGTTTTGTCCCAGCCGCCCCCCCTCCCCTGGGCCCGGGAGGGGGGCCGCGATGCGCTGGAGCCCCGGAAACTGCCCAAGATGGCGCCAAAAAGGCCTCAGAAAACCCGAGATGGCCTCCAAGATGCTTCATCATGGCTAAGGAACTTGCAAAACGCCCCAAGACGGTCTAAACGCCCTTCGAACCCCCGAGGGACTCCCCCAAGAGGCCAAGATGACTCCAACACCGAAGGGGGATCAATGTGTTTGGCGTTTCTTGCCTTTTCGCTTCCGACGGGCGCTGTGAGACCCCAGTGTGGCTCCAAAGCGGCCGCAGAGCCCCAAAAGGAGCCCAAGAGGGTCCCAAGAGGGCCCCAAGAAGAGCCCCAAACCGCGCCACGAACGCTCCAAAATGGCATCAAAACCGCATGTCTGAGCCCCCAAAGGGGGGATGAATTGAGGACCCCTCTGTCCTTGCGAACTGACGGAACCAATGCGGCCCCGAAGGGACTCCGAGACCCGCCCATAACGCCCAAAGAGGGCCCCGACAGAGCCCCGAGAGCCCCAATAGGACCCCCCAAAAACTCCAATATGGTCTGCAAGGGCCCCCCGAAAATGTCCCACAACAGCACGTCCACTCGCCTGGCGATCTGTTCCCAAGAGGGCCTCCTGATACCCCAAAATGCCCACAATATTGCTCCAAACAGCATACAATACCCTATGATATCTACCGGGGCGCGCCGAGAAACGTCCAAGAAACTTTCTGTTGCTCCTCCTCTCCTCGTCATCCTCGTCCTCCCCCTATCCCCACCCGCAGATTCATCATCCTTCTCCCTCTTCATTCATTCCCCCCCTCAGAACACTAATCCTTGTCCTCTTTGCTCCTACAATCCCGTTCTCGTGTCAAGCCCGCTTGGGTCTCGGTTCGGATGGGCTGGTGGGGATACGCGAATCGTCACACATTGCTTTCGTCGGGAAACAGACTCGGTGGGTGACCCAAGGTTATCTCTCGATGGTTCCCATGGTCCCTTCCGCGCTTGACGGGGTCCGAACGCGTTGAATGCCAAAGGCAATCGTTGTCGATTAAACCATCAAGGTCTTGGCCAAATGGCTGGCAATAGGCCTCGCCATCGTGATCTTCAGTCGCGCAGTGTAGGGATTCAAAGTCATCGCCAGTGGCAAGCTGGAGTCGACAGTCTATCCACTCATCGTCTTGACTTTCCTATACATGCGGGTTGGGATTACCGATTCTTCCGGGCCCCCGTCCAGGTCGGCGCCGTGCGTTGTGACATGCGCGTCTGGGTGGGTCCATGCTTCGCCAGGATGCGCCGTCGCACGATCGTCCCGTTTCGTGGGGGAAAAACTTTGTCGTGCGTAGACTTGTTCTCGTTCGACGCTCCTGGCGTTGATCGGGGGTTGGAATGCCCCCCTGTGATGCGTGATCTGGCCATCGCAGGAAACCCCGTTCACTGTTTGAGCGTAGGTGTGAATTACTTTTTTCCCCAGGAAGACTCCGACGAAACTTGTCAACTTTTGCCTTTGGTTCGTCATATTCACAAAATGGTTCTGTTCTCCTGGAAAGTTCGACGGGTCGCCGGATCTTGGCCCAAAGGTCCCACGCCATATGCGCAGCAGCCGAACCGATGCGATGCGTCTTTTCCATATTATCCTGGCTCATGGGGTCTCTTCGGGAGGACGTTGTTCGAGGCGTCCTAGATGGGGTCGGAGTAGATGGGGTCGGCGGGTCGAGCCGCACCGCCAATACATCGGCGATGTATCGGCGATGCGTCGCCGACGTGGGCGATGCATCGGCGACGTCGACGCGAAGCAAATCGGGCTCCGCATCGAGCCGCATCGGCGATGCATCGCCGATGCGGCGCGATCGTCCGACCCCATCCACTCGGACCCCATCTAGGAGGCCTAGACGTTTCCATCTTCTCCTGACTCGTGGGCTCCCTTCGAGAGGACACTGTGCATGATATGCCCCGTCGTGCTGATCGACAACGTCGCGGCGGCGCGAGCGGAGCAAACACCTCCTTTTTTTTCCGACGGCCGTGGCGCGGCGCGAGCTGCGAAGCCAGTTTCGCCTACCACCTCCCTTGAAGGGCGATCACAGCTTGAAACAAACGCCCGCAGTTGCGGGCGGACGGGGAAGGGGTGTGGCACAAAGGGGTATGGTGCCGATCGTGGACATGGCGATGATATCTGCGATGCATAACATCGCCAGAATCCCCTATACATAAGATTAACACCACACCCCTTTATATCACACCCCTGTCCTACCTCCAGAATATTATGATGCATGCGGGAATGCAAATCATCGTCTGTTTTGCCCACTGGGATGAAACTTATGCTGTCTCCTCGGATTCTTTCGGGGCCAATCCCCAACTGGGGGGGTGGGCTGGCAGGGCTGAGATACCACGGCCCAGTGGGGATGCAGATCGGTTGGACGATGTATCCCAGACGTCCGCCGCCTCAATTTTTTCGAGACGTGCCCCCCCGACCTTTCGACCACTTGCCTAGGACAGATTTTGCATCCCGAGCCGTGCTTTGATGTTCCCAGGGCCTGGTGAGGGCTTCGAAAATCAGAGAACTGTGAAAAACCGCCGTCCCGTTTTTTTCGAGACCCCCGATGTCTGGGATGGGGATATGTTCGACAATACCGGTCATCGATGCAGACCTCGACCCCATGTTCCCGCGGCTGTTTTCGAGTTGGATCGATATGTAAAGGTCCCGGGGCCCAGAACCCGACTCAAACTGCCGCTTTGAAACATTGCAGCGCCCGAGTCTTAACCCTATGCAGGTGAGAATCGCACCCTGGGGATAATAAGGTTCGGGGTCCTAGGAGGATAGCAGATGTTTCCCAGAGGTATCGATGTTGGGAAATGGATGTGGGGAGGGGAAGCGCGAAACATTGGGCGTCTCGCTTAAAACTTCCTCCTGTTAAGGGCTGCCCCTGTTGATAAGGGAACGAAGAATGACATAAACATAAAAACTCAGAGGTCTGCGCGGATTTCTCGGATCGACGCTTGATCCCTTTCCCTGGCGCGCGGAGCGCGCCAGGGGCGGCGCTGGAGGCGCCGCCAGGGGGTCCCCAGTGCGGATCCGAGAGATCCGCGTGGACCTCCGAGGTTTTTATGTTTATGGCATGTTTCATTCCCCTACTGTTCACCCTTGAGGATGATGATAATTTTGTTGATGATGGTAAAGCTTTCGATGCGAAGGGTGATGATGATGAAGACGATGCTGATGGTGATGATGATGACGATGATGATGATGGTGATGATGATGATGATGGTGGTGATGGTGACGATGATGATGTTGATGATGGTGACGATGAGGATGAAAATGATGGTGGTGGTGGTGGTGAGGTTTGCGTTAAGTGCTGCCCCTGTTCACCCTTGCAGCCCTGGAGCTTCATGCGCTGGAAATGCTGAGCCACGAGCTCCTCTTGAACAGGGACCGACCGTCCCGGCATTCCTATAGTCCTACCACGAAATGTTCTTAGAACCCAAACATGTTTTAATAACAAAAACAAAATTCTTAGACCATTCACCTGATGTGTTAAAACATGTTAGTCTCAACCAGACATGTTCTAAGAACATTTCGTGCAAACCACACAGAGTTCTTAGAACAGTCTTTGGTAGGCCTACAGGCGAACCAGGACGCTTCGCCACTGCTTGATCCTCGTCAGTCGCTTCGGCCGACGGCCAATGCCGCGGTAGCCGCGCGGCCGCCCCGGCCTGGAACATGTCGTGCTCCATGTCGACCAGGAACTGCTGCTGGGGGCCCAGCACGCTGCCCGGCCTGCACGTCCTTCGGCAGAGAGCAAGGGATGGGCGCGGCGAGAAGGAAGGGGCCCAGGGACACACATAGAAGTAGGCACACATCCCAAGATTCCCCATTTTTTGGTATGTATATATATATATATATATATATATATATATATATATATCGGAGGTGAGGGGGTGAGATCGAAGTGGAACGGAGAGCCCCCCTACCGGGAAATCGATTTCGGTTTCGTGTTCGTGCGTGCCGTGCGGGCGAGGCGAAGCTGCGTGGGCGGGCGAGAGAAAGTCTCCTGTGGCTGAGGCGCGGCCGGACCAAATGACTCCCTTCTGGGCGGCCGGTGGCCCGCGGTGTCCCGCCGGTGTCCCGCTGGTGTCCCGTCGGTGTCCCTGTGGCTGAGGCGCGGCCGGACCAAATGATTCCCTTCCGGGCGGCCAGGGCCCCGCGGTGTCCCGCCGGTGTCCCGCTGGTGTCCCGCGGTGTCCCGCGGTGTCCCGCGGTGCCCCGCGGTGTCCCGCCGGTGTCCCGCGGTGTCCCGCGATGATGATGATGATGATGAGGAGGAGGATGATGATGATGATGATGGTGATGGTGATGGTGATGCTGATGATGATGATGCTGCTGATGATGATGATGACGATGATGATGATGACGATGATGATGATGGTGATGCAGATGATGATGATGATGATGATGATGATGATGATGATGATGATGATGATGATATGATGATGATGGTGGATGATGATGATGATGATGATGATGATGATGATGATGACGATGATGATGATGCTGATGGTGTCCCGATGATGAGGATGATGATGATCATGCTGATTATGTTGATGATCATGATGATGACGATGATGGTGCCCCGATGATGATGAGTATGATGATGTTGATGTTGATGATGCTGATTATGATTGTGTCCCGATGATGATGATGTTGATGATGATGAGGTTGATGATGATTATGGCGTCCCGATGATGATGATTATTCTGATGGTGATGATGATGATGTTGATGATGATGGCGTCCCGATGGTGATGATGATGATGATTATGATGATGATGATGCTGATGCTGGTAATGATGATGATGGTGCCCCGATGATGACGATGATGATGCTGATGATGATGTTGATGATGCTGCTGATGATGATGTCGATGATGAGGATGAGATGATGATGATGGTGTCCCGATGATGATGATGATGATGATGATGATGATGATGATGATGATGATGATGATAACGATGGTGATCATGATGGTGTCCCGATGATGATGCTGCTGCTGATGATGATGATGACGATGACTGTGTCCCGATGCTGCTGATGATGATGTTGATGATGATGATGATGATGATGATTGTGATGATGGTGATGATGGTGATGATGATGATGATGATGATGATGATGATGGTGGTGTCCCGATGATGTTGATGACCGTGATGATGATGATGATGATGATGATGATGATGATGATGATGATGTTGGTGTTGATATGAGGACGGTGTCCCGATGATGATGATGTTGATGTTGATGATGATGATGACGTTGATTGTGATAGCGGTTGTGATATCGATAGTGATATCGATAGTGAGACCGAATGTGATATCGATTGTGAGATCGATTGTGAGATCGATAGTCAGATCAATTGTGAGATAGATCGAGTGAGATCGATTGTGAGATCGATCGAGGGAGATCGATCGAGCGAGACCGATACTGAGATCGATAGTGAGATCGAAAGTGAGACCGATCGAGTGAGACGTTGGTTCCTCCCCCCCCCGAACCTCCTTATCACCCGAAGGGTGGTCGTATAGGTATATATATATACACACATACAAACATACTCTCGACTTTCGCATTCTCCTCCACCTCCCGTTTTTTTTACACTTGCATCGGAATCAACGTGTATATGTGCCTGTGTCATTTTCCCTCTCCTGAGAGAAGGGGTGCGCAGATCGACAGTAGTCCCTGTCCTTTTTTGAACAGGACTCGCTGTCGGTGCCGCCCTGGGCGTTGTCCATTTGAGACAGGGGGCCGCCTGCACAATAACGACCGCCGTTTGCTTTGGACGGAATTTGTGGTTGGGCATCGTGCCTACTCTTTCCGTACCCATCTCGGGCTTCCGATGTCCTGATCCAGCCGATGAAAGCTCTGGCCGGGAACCGGTAGTGCTTCATCGCGTAGAGCCCGATGAGCGTGCCAGATCTGCCCAGCCCAGCCTTGCAGTGCACCGCGACTGCGCCAGGCTCGTTCTCCGTGACTGTCAAGAACTTGCGGACGATGTCTGGCGAGGGGCAGCTGCCGTCCGAGAAGTACAGATCCAGATGCTTGATGCCCTGATTGACGAAGCGCTTTGCGTCGTACTGCTTCTTGTTCAACCGAACAACCAAGCGAATGTTGCCCTCATGGAACATTGGCGCATAGTCTTCTGGGGTGAGAGCTGGGTACCCGTCAGCATCGAGCGAAGTTGGCGAAGGCGAAGCAAACGCCAGAAACTTGCGAGGAATGATCCAATTCATGTCGCCGTTCTGGAAATTCGCGAAGTAATCATATGAGCGTCTGTTGAAGCGTTTCCAGTCAAACCACCCGAGGTCGATGGCAACCTTTGGCGGCGCGCACAATGGGGGTGGAGGCAGGGGGGGGGCTTCTTAGAAGGAGGCTGCTTCTTAGAAGGCGCCAGTCCTCACATCTATAGATAAGGCCCGCGCCTTCTAAGAAGCAGGGGTGCTTTTAAGACGCCCTCCCCCCTCCCCCCCTCTGCTCGTGGCCGAAACCTGGAGACCCATCAAGCAATCTGACACGGTGCAATCGTACGAACACGGGCCGCGGAGGGCGTCGCGGTACGGCAAGAACTCCAAATCGAGCTGCTTGAAACGCCCGTGCGCGATCTCCGGGGATCTGCCCAGGACCATCACCTGATACGCGCTCGCCAGCCAGGCTGCGTTCGTCCGCTTCTGGGCGTCCGGGGAGCAATAGTGGACGAGGCACCTCCCGGCCAGTGCGGGGTCGTCGAGCTTGGACTGCACCATCTTGGCGTACACGTGTATTTGGAGGAAGGAACGACTGCGCAAATCTCAACTTTCGGAAGTCCGCGGGGATTTCTTGGACCGGCGCTGGGCTCCCCTGGCGGCGCCTCCGGCGTCGCCGCTGGCGCGGGGAGGGGGGCCCAGCGCCGATCCAAGCAGTCTGCGCGGAGCTCCGAACATTTATGCTCATGCAGTCTTTTGCTCCTCGAGTCTTGCCGACAGGTTCATCGGGCCAAAATCTTTGTAGAACGGCTGGTAGACGAGGTCGCTGTCCGTGCAGAAGAAGACGGCCTTCTCCCGAGGGACCGTCCGCAACAACGCCTCCTGCGACTCGCTCTCCAGGCCAAGCCAATCCGTCACCGTGCCGCGAGGCACGAGGTCAAGCGTCCTCAAGTTCCCTCGAGTGCTCCGACCTGAACCTGCCATGAAGCCCCCAAGAGCTCCCCAAGAGGTCTCCAATGCGGCCCAGGAGTCCTTCCCAGAGACCCCAAGGTGCCTCTAGCAAGAACTCCCGCCCACGTCTCAGGCACGGTGACGGGAAGGGCCGAAGGCCACTAGCTCCGCCGTCCTCCTTTTGCTTGCCACAGGGGTGCGCGGCGTGCCAAACGTAGGTAGCTCTGGTCCTTTTTGTAAGGTTCCCAACGGAGTCTCGGCCAGTCGCGCTGGCACCCCATGAGGACGCAACACCTCCCCGGGTTGTCGGCCTTCCCGCTCCAAGACGGCAGAGATGGCCTCCAGCATGCTTGAAAGGAGGCCCCCCAAAACGTCCAAACTGGCCGCAACGCAACTCCAAGACGGCCACATATGCACCCAAAACGGCCCCAAGGTAACGCAAGATGACCCCAAAAGGCCTCCGAGAAAACCCTCAGGAAGGACCGAACAGATCTCTCCTCCTCTTGTTCTTTCTTCCCCACGTGTTCCCCGAAGCATTTCCACAACGGCTGGGGGAACATATGATCCTATAGCTTGGCCGAGCTCTGGCCACAACGTTCGTCCACATAAGCGTTTCGAAGATGCAGGGGGCAGCGGTGATGCGCCGTAGGCGTCTTCGATCCGCCGCCCCCTAGGCTTGTCACAAGGGTGCTGGGTGAGTCCGAGCTTCAGAGACGGCCAAGGTGACCCCAAGACGGTCCAAGAAGCTAATTATCTCGAGGGGCTCCTGGGCCGCCGTGGGGGCCATCGGGGCCAGCCCAAAAAGGCAACATCTTTGAACTAACAATTGACGGTCCGGTGTTGTTCAGATTCTCGCCTTTTCAATTGGAAACGCGTTGGCCCCAGCTGAGGAAACCCCAACACCACCCCAAGACGGTCCACATAGGTCCCAAGAGAATCCCCCAAGACGACCCAACTATCACAAGACCGCCCAGAGAAGCCCCCGAAACGGCTTCCGATGCCACCAGGCGGTCCAAGAGCGACCTAAGACAGTCACAGAGAGCCCCGGGCCCAATCGGTCCTGAGGAGGCCCCCGTAACAAAAACAGAGGCCTGAAACACCACCCAGGACAGATCTGATGATGGTGACGTTGATGGTAATGATCATGGTGAATGTAATGATGCTGATGGTGGTGGTGACGGTGACGATGGTGATTATTGGGGTAAGGCGATGATAATGATGCTGATGCTGGTGGTGATGGCGATGGTGATGATGGCAATGATGATGACGATGTCGGTGATGACGACGATATTATTCCATTCCTTGTGCATGGGGTTCTTCTAGCTGGTTGGGGGCGAAGGCGACTGTCTCGCCAGCAGTGGAGGCGCCAGAAGCCAAACCAACGTGCAGCAACCCAAAGCCCAGAGACCGAAAGGCGAACACGGGGGGGAAGGGACACTTGAACCACAGTGGTTGCGGCACGCACCATTACAACGACCAAAACACCCAGCGAACAGTGACATGATCTTGTTACATTCATACGCCAGGGATTACCTTTGCTGAGTGGGGGCGGGGGCGACTGTCTCGCCAGCAGACGAGGCGGCAGAAAACAGACGGCGCAACAACCAAACTCAAGGGACCAAAACTTAGCATGCATGCTTTCTCTGATCCGCAGGCCGATCACATTAACAAGCATTTGCGCAATCACAACGCAGGTCTACAGGAGATGAGCTGCACGAAGGTTCACTGTCCATGTCACGAGCCAGGCAGCACCCCATTGGGCGACCTCCTGTGGATACTTATTCGCGCTATGAGCCCACGGGGTACCGCGACTGTTTCGACCAGCAATCTTGACGCGAAAACGGCGGCGGCCAGAACATTTAACGACCCCCCCCCGTGCACGAGGGGCGACCGGCGAGAGGTGGGCGCGGAGCAGCCTGGGCCCGCAGTTTGGAATGACGAGGGTGAAGGCCACCGTGCTGACGGAAAATTGCATGAACAAGCTGCGATGCGAGAGAGCACGCGGGGTTTGAAAGAAGCCAGCGCCGCCCGGGTGGAGCTGCAGGGACTTGCGGCAACCGCGGGGGCCCAAAGGCGACGGCGCTCGAGGGTCGCGGCGGCGAGAGACCCCCAGAAACCTCGGGACAGGAGGGGGGCGCGGAATCCGAGGCCAGGGGGGCCCGAACACCCCGGACCGCGGGCCCCCGAATCCACCCCGAGATCCTGTGGCGCACCGCGGGTCTAGACCAGTCGAACCTCTGATGCTTGTTGGGGTCCACATGGTCGCGGATCTTCTTGCCCTCCAGCGGCGCGCGATCGGCCGCGAGGCAGCCCCTGGGCCGATGAAGCAAAATCAGGCAGAACGCGCGCCGCAAACAGAGCGGCCGCCAGCTGGCGCGTCAGATACTAGACGGCGCCCACTTGGTCGTCAGAGAGGCTTTCGACCCTCCGCGCGACGACGCCGCCTGCCTCGCAGGGGCAGGCCGCGGGAGGTTCCCCAGGGCAGCTGCCTCTATTGGCGCCGCGAGGTGGGTGGCCACTAGCTGGCCGAAAGACATCGCCTCGTCGGGCACGTCGTTCATCTGCTGCTGCAGCTTGGTCCTCTTTGCGAACGGCCGCAGAGAGCAATCGGAGATCCATCTTCAACCCCAGCTGCTCCGTCGCCTGGTTGAAGGCGTCGCGCGTCTCCGCCGCGCCGAGAACCCCGCGGCGCCATGCCGCCGTGGCGGGCGAGCTTCAGCGCCGTCCGCAGTGGCCGCCGCTCGACCTGGTCCAGGGCGACGCTCTCGTCGGTGATTCCCGGCGTTCCTGGGCGCCCATCCTCGCTCGGGTGAAGCACCGGGCCCCGCTTGCCGCAGTCCTCTCCGGCCGGCGGGCTCGGTCGGGGGCGCGAGCGAGTCGCCCCGGAGACGGAACGCCTCCGAGGCGCGCAGGTAGCCGGCCCAGGCGAGTAGCACGAACATCGCGAATGGCAACTGGCCGATCGAGATCATGACGCCCGCGACCGCCATCGCAGCGGCCGAAGGGTCGGCAGACGCATGCAGGGCGGCTTCGGCTTCGTCTAGCCTTCCAGACCCCTGCGCGCGCTCGGCAACGAGGCGCGCGCGGAGCCCCGGGCAGGCGGCGAGTGGCGCCTGGCCCATCGCGGCCCTCCCCGTCGCCGTGTCGAAGCCGTCTGCGGCCGCGCCGGCCCCGTCCGCAGACTCTGGGAGATCAGCCGCTTGGCGCGGGCCGCGTAGTGCTTTGCGGTGGCGTCGGCGAGCGCCGCTGCCTCCAGGAAGCTCAGGCGCCCGCTCGGCGGCCCCGACAGCGACGCCTGGGGGGCGAGCCTCTGGCGCGCCGGCGTCGCGGCGCGGGGCGGGCGGCCCCCGCGCGGACGGCCGCGGGGGGCCCCCTCCACCCTGGGGGCAGCGGCCCCGTGGAGCAGCCGGACCTCGCCGGGGCATGCGACGCGTTAAACTCCGACGGGGCTCAGAGAACGCGGGCCCTGTTTCCAATGGCAAGTAGCAGTGGGGCGACGCGGCGCAAGGGCCTGGCCAGGTTGGCCGCGCGGCCGCGGCCCCTGCCAGCGCTGGGAGCTAGGGCCCAGAGCCAAATTGCCCACGAAGGGCGCGAGCCAGCGGCCCTGCGAGGGCGCGAGCGCAGCGGGTGGCGGAGGGCGAACCCCAGAGCGTCACCCTCGGACCCTAAGATAATCCCCCCCTTCAAGCGTGCCCTGCTAGAACGGGCCACCTCCCAGTCGAGCTCTTTCAGGGTCTCCGCGGGGGCCTCGGTGAATCCAAGTGGCCCCGCCCCGACGTTCAGGGAGCTCTCAGAGTCGATGGCGCCCAGAGTCCCGAGAACCTCTGGGGCCTTCGTGACCTGCGGGGGGCCCGCGAGGAACGCCGGGAACGCGGCCACGGTGGGGAGGGGCAGCGCGCTCGGGACCCCCGCGAGCGCCTGAGAGGGCACGTTGTCGAGCGGCTATGGCGCCGTGGAACCTGCGCCAAACTTTTTCGGCGAGACGGCCCATCTCGGCGACGACTGCCGCGGGCAACTTGCGATGGCAGGCCGCAATGCCATGCCCGCGGGGCGGGGGCCGCGACGCCGGGGGCCCGCGGCAGACGCCGCGGCGCGGCCCGCGGAGGCGGCGTAGCTGGAAACCGCTGGAGCTGAGGACCCCATACATATCTTGACGGGCTCGGGCGACCAGCTCGTGGCAAATGCGACGTTGCTGGCGTCGGCGACAAAGTCTTGCGCCGGGGCGAGCGCGCGGGCGAGATCCCAGGGCTGCTGCGCGTGGGAAGGCGCGCTGGGTGCCCGCGGCCGCCGCGTAGCTGGTCGCCTCGGGGCTGACCTCCCCCGCGTCTGCCCGCGGCGCGCTCGCGGGCAATTTGGTGCCAGCTGGCTCCGCGAATGAAATGCATGCGACGCGCGTGTCAAGCGCCCCCGCGCCGCGGCCCTCCGAGGTATGTTGACCGCGCCGTCGGGCGCCGAGAACCCCCGCCCGCGATCGCGCTGACCACTGGGGTCGTTGAGGCTGTCGATGCACTCGCTGGCCCAGACGCGTCAGACAGCGCCGCGGTTGCAACGCTGACGGGTTCGCCGAGAAACGCGCAACTCTCGACGGGCGCCAACAGCGAGCCGAAGAAAAGATATTGCGCTGGCGACTATCCGACGGGGTCGCCATCGCGGGGCGGCGCAGCTCCTGGCCCGAGGAGCCCCGGCAGCCTTGAAGAGGGGCCTGCTGCTGGAATGCGAAGCGCCGTGGGCCAATGGCGCAACGCCCTCCTCGCGGGCCTTCCCCCGCACATTCGCCGACGCGGCCTCGGCAATCAACTCATCGTCGATCCGCGTGCTGAGCAGGAGGCAGACGCTCGCGTTGCCTCTGCTCTCCTGGGCGCCGAGGAATACATGGTTCTCGTGGATATTGTCCAGCGCTTGGACCATGTCCTTGTCCCCCTTGTCGTTCCCCTTGGGTCTTGACGACTGCTCGACCACCTTCTCCTCGAGAAACTGCAGGCGCCGCGCCGTCATCTCCAAACGTGTCGGTTCCCCAGCGTTGGCCTGGTCGCAGCGCGCCGCCAGCTCCAAGATGCGGCAGGGGAGGCCGTGCCCGCGCGTGATCGGGTCGCCCTCCGCCATCCGCCACTCTGCAATCCACTTGGTGCGCCGGGCCGTCGGTGAGGCGGCCTGGCGCTGGATGCGGGTGCGCGCCCAAGCCGCGGCCCTCGGCCCGTGCGCGGGCCAGTCTCGCCAGGCCGTCGACGAATGGCCCTGGCGGGCGCGGGCGCCGCGCCCGTCGCAGCGCCTGGGGGCCCCGCGCTGCCGGCGCCGCCCGCCGCCGCCGCCGCCGCGGACGTGCCGGGCACGGACGGCCCCCGCCGCGGCAGCGGCCGGCCGGCGGCGCTCTCGCGCTGTCCGCCGCGGCCCTTGGGGCCGCGGCGCCGCCGCCCGCCGCGGCCGCGGCCTCGGCCGACCTTCGGGTCAACGCCGCGAGCATCGACATCCGCGGCGACAGGTGGAGGGACTTCCCGCGATCGCTGGCGCCCCACCAGGGGCCCCGGCGGCAGGCCCGCCAGGCGCGCCAGGGGCCGCCGTGGGCGGGGGCGGCGCAAAGTCCGCCAGCGCGTGCGCGCCCGCCGCTGAGCCGCCCACGTTGCCCGCACCCAAGGGCATTTGGCGGGCGACGCAGGGCGGGCGCCGCCAAATAGGGCGACCCGCCTCCATGATGCCCGCCCGCACGTCGGCAGCGGGCGGTAGCGCTTGGAAGCCGTGTGCTGCCAGCGGGCTTTTCACTTTGACCAGCCGGCACGATGATGGCTGCGATGTCGCCGTCGGCGATGGCAGCGATGTCGCCGTCGGGGAAGTCGCTGGGGTGATGACATTGGCACTCGTGCCAGGATTACGATGCACTATGAGCCTCTCGCGCCAATCCGATATCTAACAAGGCACCGATACAACTGATGAGCCGCAGTCGCAGAGAAGCCGCCCTCTCATGCCTGATGGCCTTCAGCTGCGCGCGAAGCCGTTTCCCCGAGGCTGGCAGCGGGTTCCTCAAGGGCGTGGCCGCCCACCGCGCGGCGCGCGAGCAGCGCGCCTCCTGCAGCACCGACGGCCAGGCCGAGAGTCAGCCCCGCCACCGGATGGGCCGCGATGGGGCCGCCGCACGGGGGCTCGGGCACCTGTCCGCCCGCGCCCGCACAGACACAATTGGGGATGGCGGGGCAAGTCAGAAGCGGCGACCAGGCCCCGCAGCTCGGGACGGGCGCGCGCGCCACCACGGAAACTTTCACCGCCGGAGTCCCGCATCGCAGAGCCCGAGAGAGAATGTGTGCAGTGTCTTGTATGGGAGCCGCACCGATTGAGACCTGCGCCGCAGTGGTTACGGCACGCACCATTACAACAATCAGCGCACTTAGCAAACAATTATATGATGATGTTGGTGCTGATGGTGCTTGTGATGGTGATGGTGATGATTATGATGAGTACGTTGGTGGTGATGCTGATAATGATAATGATAATGATGATGATGATGATGACGATGATGATGATGATGATGATGATGATCATGCTAATGCTGCTAATGATGCTGGTGCTGATGCTGGTAACGGTAATGCTAATGATAAGGACCGGCACTGGCGATGGTGATGGCGATATGATGCCGATGACGATGACGATGATGCTGACGATGATGATGGTTGTGGCGATGCTGATGGGGATTGTAAGGATGAGGATCATCATCATCATCATCATCATCATCATCATCATCATCATCATCATCATCATCATTATCATGATGATGGTGATGATGATTATGATGATGCTGATGGTAATGCTGATGATGATGGGGAGGATGATTTCGATTGTGCTGATGACGATGCTGATTTTGATGGTGATGTTTCATGGAGGTTGGATGGGGCTCGAATGAGGCCACATCTATGTATCTTCTAGGTGGCAGAACACCCGAAGATGACGTTGCGCACCGCTGCTACATCTCAGGCTCGAGAGCGCTCAGCCAGCGAGGCAACATGCAGGTTCGGAAAAGGTCCGGCCGAGCCCAAGCCACGTGACGGAACTGATCCCTTTTAAAGCCAAGCGAGCTTGGAGCACCTATCATCATCATCATTATCATCATCATCACCATCATCATCATCATCATCATCATCATCATCATCATCATCATTATTCCCATCATCAACATTATCATCATCATAATCAACACCATTACCATTATCATCACCATCACCGTCACCATCACCATCATCCTCATCCTCATTATCGTCATCATCATCACCATCATCATCATCATCATCATCATGTTCCTTCCCAAATGTCTCCCCAATAGCTTCCCCAACGGTTGAGGGGGACATGCGATCCACTTGCGTGGCCGCGCTTACGCTCGACATCTCACTGCACGGGCGTTTGCTTGGAGCAGGGCGAGTTGTGGCAACGGTCAGTCCCCGGACCCATCTCAGGATCCAAACGCAGCAGATTTCGGATCTGCGTCCAGCTGTGCCGACAAGGGGGCTCCCCCTCAAGTAACTGCCATTGTCTTAACTCGTCCTCTATCGTTGCGTTCTGGATTCTGGGCCATACCTCGGCTCCTTGGCGGCCGTCTGGGACGATCCGGGCAACCCCAGGACGACGAAACCGCTCGTAAGTCATCCTCCAGCTGTCGAACTGTCGTTGCCTCAAGTCGGGCCTGTCCTCCTACACGGGGATTTTGGACGACAAATTAAAGAAATACCATAAACATGCCCCAATATGGCGAAACCATGCTCAAACGATCGCACCCATTTTTTTGATAAATTTTGAATATCCCCCCTGTAGAGGGACACGCCCGACTTAATCGTTGCCTCAACTTGCGGCGGCGGGCCGCAGGCGCACCCGATAGAACCTGCCCTCGATGATGCAGACCGCGGTGGACAGCTCCAGCCCAAGGTGGCCGAGGCATGGCCCGGCCGGCGGCGCCTCGGAGATCGCCCGGCTCATGCCTGTGCCCCTGAGGCTGCCCGCGGCAGGTGCTCGCGTCGCCTCAGAGAGCTCGATCCACAACTGCTCCAGGGCGCCGGAGCGCCAAGCACCCCAGGAGGGCGCCAGGACGGCACCAAGAGGCACCGAGAAACCTCGTGCGATGCCCCAGGATGCCCCACGAGAGGGCCCAGGCAGCCGCAGTCGTTGAACCATTCCCAGAACAGCTCGTCTGCAAAGGGCTCTATATAGTGCTTCTGAGAACGAGTGAGTGCTCTGCTGGATCTGCATTCGGTGAGGCGTGAACTCCCTGCTTGGCGTCTCGGTCGATCCCTGCCGCGGCGTCTTTGCGGCCCTCGCCCCGCCTCGTCGCCCTCTCTGGACTTCTCGTCGGTCCCCCTCGTCGTTGGGACTTGCTGCCTAGAAGCCAGGGTTTGGCGCTGAGTCGCGTCCGAGTGACTTTCAGCGGCGAGGGGGCACAAGCTCTGGGGAGGTGGAGCACAAGCTTTAGGTCGGGCGTGTCCCCCTACAGGCGGATTTTCGCCGAAAAAAAAACGTACCCCAAAAATGCCCCCAACATATTCAAACATGGTCGAAAAATCGTCCCCAGACGATGTTTCATACTATTTTTGAATTTTTCTCCTGTAGGGGGACGTGCCCGACTTCAGCTTAGAAGCGAGGGCTTGGCGCTGAGTCGCGTCGAAGTGACTTTCACCGGCGAGGGGGCACAAGCTCTGGGGAGGTGGAGCACAAGCTGCCCAACGCACTTCCCAGAGTCCACCAGTGTTAGGTCGGGCATGTCCCCCTACAGGCGTGGACGAGCAATGGAAAATTGTCAAACATATTCGCAACATGCTCAAACATAGTTAAACAATCGTCCACTCAAACATTGACACTTGTTCGATATCTTCCTGTAGAGGGACACGCCCGACTTAACAGACGCTCTGGGGAGGTAGAGCACAAGCCGCCCAACGCACTTCCCAGAGTCCACCGTAGAACGTAGAACGTCCGATCGAGCGCCCGGAGACGTTTCGTCCCGCTTGCGGGAACGGCGTGGCTGTCACGCAGTACAGTCAGGAAACAAACATGCACTGAAGGTCGAACACACCCCCAACGTGCATTGCTGCACCCCTCACACCCCTCCAGAGTCCACCAGAGCCTCCGAATCCACCCGCCGACGCCTGCAAGGTGCCCAACGTGCCCTCCGACACGGCTCTGGACGGTTCCAGCGCGTCCAGCAAGGACTTCAGGATCACTCATTCGGCCAAGCTAGGCCCCACGAAAGCCAACAGAGCTCCCACGAGGGAGCCCAGGCATCCAAAGTCATTAGAATACATATATATATATATATATATATGTATGTATATATATATATATATGTATATATATATATATGTGTATATAGGTCGTTTTTTTTTGTTTTTTTTTCCCTCTTTCTCTCTCTCTCTCTCTGCATACATGTTGTTTTAGTGCTTGATGCGATCCCGCCTTCTCGCTCCAAAGTCACGGTGACCTGCAGAAGTCCCCTCAGGCAGCGCAACAAACAACCCCGAGATGGCCCCCAAGATGACCCCACATTGCCCCAGAGCCTCCCAGCTGGCCTGGAGGACAGCCAACACGTGCCTCCAAGACGGCCCAAGACAGCCACAGGACGGCCCCGACTCCCCCACATGGCTCTGAGACCGCCCAAAACGAACTCAAGACCCCAACAAGTCCCCAACAGGTCCCAAAGAGGAGGAACTCCAAGGGAGTCCAAATATTCAGTCGGGCCTGTCTTCCTACAGTACAGGGGGATTTTTTTGACGAAAACTCAAAACTGAGCAACAAATGCCCCACACATACTCAAAAATAGTCAACAAATCGTCCCCAGACTATTTTTTAAAACGGTTTTTGAGCATCCCTCCTGTAGAGGAACAAGCCCGACTGAACCCAAAGAGGAGGCCCCACTGGCCGATTCACCCCCCTAGATGGGGGTCATTGGCGGGGGTCGGTTACACGATGCTGACCAACAGGTCCCCAACAGGTCCCCAACAGGTCCCCAAGGAACTCCAAGGGGGCCTGCGGAACCCTGCGCCCCGAGGTGGCCCCCGAGACCGCCTCCAGGCCACCAGGGCCCCGAAGCGACATCTGGAGGCTCCCCATGAGAGTACATCGACGAGCGCGTTCCACTACGCGCAAAGTGTAGAGGGCAGATCATCAACCCCGCCAATTCTCCGGCCCAACGGGCCAGAGGCGTGCTAAGATCTCCGGTAACTGGTAAACAGTATTTCTAGTTCGCGCGCGCGGGGCGGCCCCTGGGGGTCCCTGGATCAAAAGTACCCCGGGAGGAGCCCGGGACACGCCCGGGACACGCCCGAGACACGCCCGGGACACTCCCCCAGATCCTCCAGGATCGCCCCAAGAGGGCCCCAAGAGGCCCCCAACACAATCCAAGAGAGGTCCGAGACGCCCGAAGATCGCTCCACGGCGCCCAAGATGGCCTCCAGACGGCCCAAGACGTCTCCAAGATGACCCAGCAAGCCTCCAAGATGCCCCAAGAGACCTCCAGGAGCACTCCCAAGAGGGCCCCAAGAGGCAAAAATCAATGTTTTTTCTTCGGTTTTGGACAGCTTTGGGCGTTTCAACCTTTTCGGTTCCCCGACGCCCCTAATCGGCTCAAGAGGCCTCCAAGATCGCCCCAAGAGGGCCCAAGAGGCCCTCAAAAGGGCACCAAGACGGCCCAAGACGGCTCCAAGACGGCCCCAGAGGCCTCCAAGACGGCCCAAGAGGGCCCCAAGAACGCCCCCAACACGGTCCAAGAGAGGTCCGAGACGCCCGAATATCGCTCCACGACGCCCAAGATGGCCTCCGGACGGCCCAAGACGTCTCCAAGATGGCCCAAGAAGCCTCCAAGATGCCCCAAGAGGCCTCCAAGAGAACTCCCAAGAGGGCCCCAAGAGGCAAAAACCTGTGCTTTTCTTTTGGTGTTGGACAGATTTGGGCGTTTTAACCTTTTCGGTTCCCCGACGCCCCTAAACGGCTCAAGAGGCCTCCAAGATCGCCCCAAGAGGGCCCAAGAGGCCCCCAAGAGGGCCCCAAGACGGCCCAAGACGGCTCCAAGACGGCCCCAGAGGCCTCCAGGACGGCCCAAGAGGGCCCCAAGAACGCCCCCAAAACTACACAGCTCCCGACGCCGCAGCTCCACACTGCAAACGACCACTCGGACAGGCGACCACGGTGCGACATTATGGGCCGGCGGAATGAGCGAAGCGATTAAATAACCACCCCGACACGCGAGGCTTTTAGTAAACGCGCCCAGAGAGGGAAGCGAACAGGGCAGGGCTGTTTAGCAAACGCCCAAGGCCGTTTAGTAAACGCAGAGTGTCCGGTCCGGGTGGTTCTTCCTCCCTTGATACCCGCAAATGGCCTGGATGCCCCGCGGGGGATCTACGGTAATTTACATCAGAGCGGACATGTGCTTTTCGGACGTTGGCGAGTGGGCACTTTGCGAGTCGTGGAACGCGCTCGGTGAATACAGGAAGCGGCGAAGAAGCGCCCACCAGGCCTGCCCCAAAGGGTCGTCCTGCCGGGCGTGCCACATCGTGTTTTTTTTTGCTTTTGTTTCCAAAAGGTTGCACACGACAGCGTGCCACCGAAAAGGACGCGCCACGACCGCAGAGCCTTCATGCCAGGAGCAGGACCGCTTCCAAAACGGCTGCGACGGCGCAACATGGCTCCCAAGACGGGAATGCGGCCCAAGGCAGTCCCAGCTGGCCTCCTCGATGGCCCAGCAGGGTCCGAAGAGGCCTCCAAGTCGGCCTGTCATGGCTCCAAGACGCCCCAAGATGGCCCCGAGACGGCCAAGACCTCCTCAAGACTGCCCAATCCGCCTCCAGGACGCCCCAGTAGATCTCGAAGAAAGCCTTCTCCAGAGGGCCCGACGAAGGCAGAATGACGTACTTTTCTCAGTAGTTCAAAAATGTTCGCGTTCTCGCTTTCTGCCCTGGTAGCACAAGACGGCCAAAGAGACCTCCACGATGCCGCGGTCCAACCTCCACAAAGCGTCCAAGAAACCCGACGATGGCCCGGAGGCCTCCGAGATGGTCAAAGAGGGCCCCACAGGAGGCCTAAGAGATCCTCATAATGACCCTAAGGGAGTTCCGACGTCTCACGACGACCCAACAGGCCTCCAATATCGCCTCAAGACAACCCAAGGGCCCGAAGACTGCACAAAAGGGCCTCGATATTACCCAAGACGCGCCAAATGGGGGCCCGACACGGCACAAGATGGCCCCAGGACGGCCGAAGAGACTCCCAAGTCGGTCCTCGAGGGCCCCAAGACGGAACAGAGAAACTGTCCAGAAACTGCCTTTGAAGGCACCAGACGGGCAAAGAACGCTCCAAGACGGCCCTAAAGAGCCCTCTAATGGTCCGAAGGAGCTCCTGGAGGCCCCCAGCCGGCCACAAGCGGCCCCGAGAAGCAACCCAAGAAACTCCCAACAGACCCCAAGCAGCCCTTGACCGGCCCGCGAGAGGGCCTCTCCCACAGGTCTCCCGAAGGATGTCCTGACATCCTGGGGAACACCCCGACCACTGGTGCTGCCAGGCTGACGCTCAACACTCCACCACACAGCTCTTCGTTAGAAGCAGGGGGGGCGGGGGCGACTCGACCGCTACTGCTCTCGTGCCATGCCATGCCCCCGCCCCATCGACCCCCCCCAAAGACTGCCCCGCCCCCCCCCAAACACGAGACGGAGGGGGTCGGTCACTTCGGGGTTGGTCTTAAGTCGGGCATGTCCTCCTACAGGGGGTTTTGGGCGAACAATGAAAAATACACCAACAATACGCCAAACATATGCAAACATGGTAAACAAATCGTCCCCAGACTATTTGGTTGTTTTTAAAATTCCCCCTGTAGAGGGACAGGCCCGACTTAAGGTTTGTCTCGGGCCCCTCCTTCCGCCCCGCGGCTCTGCCGCCCCCCCGCGGTGGCACGAAGAAATATCTGGATGCTGACGGGCATCGCCGACTCGCAGCATGAGCACACAAGAGATGTGTAAATCGCCGCGCGAGGCGGGCCGTTCGCGAAAGTGTGCGTCGATTTCTTGGC